TCTTATAAGCACCAATTTCTTCTAATAAGTTATTTTTTCCACCAGTTTCTCTTTCTTTATTTTTTATGAAAACTATGAAAAAGTGGATCTAAAGGTGTTTTATCCCAAAAAGGATTTTGCTTCTCAGGAAATCGGCTCACCTTTTTCGCGTCAAATTTAATGATGATTACTTCCTGACTAATCGTTCCTCCGCTCTTTAACTTGAGAATTTTCGAGGAAATACCAGCTTTTTCCTGTTTTCGATGTGATGCTCACTGACATGAAAAATGGTATTGCGGATTGAACCTGCGACCTTTGGAGCAGTGGCAAAGGATTCTACCAGCTGAGCCATGAAGTTTCCTTTCAGTTTTAACAGAAATTGGATAAGTTTTTTGAATTTTTTCGAGTTTTCTCGAATTTAAAAGCGGTTGAAAATGAGATTCTTCTTTCGCTTTTGTTTTTATTGAACTGAAAATTAAGTTAAATAGTTAAAGAAATGGTTTTCAAAAAATATAATCAAAATTTTCAATCAGAAGTCACTTGGTTAGTCCGGCAGCTTCGAAACGCCGCTCAAAACGTGACAAGTTCGATTCCTCTTCAGAACATTTTTTTTGACATTAGCGAACAAAAATTTCAAATGATTCTACTCCAAACGCAATAAAAGATAAGTCTGGCGTCGGTTTTTTTATTTCAAGTTGGGCCGAGTGCCCAAGCGCAGAGGATTGTATTGCGTTGCACCTGGTCGCCTACCGCCAGACACCCCTTCCTGTCCCCTCCTTTTATGGAGAGAGGTTCTGGCGCCAATTTGACACTACAGTTATAAATCATACTATGATGCATGGATCTGTTGCTTGGGAGGCGTGGAAAAAACTCGATGCTCAGCGAAATGTGATACGAAGCGGGAAAATCAATAAGAAAATAGGAAATTTTGATGGTCAGGGTTGAAAAACAATTTATTTCGAATATTAATTCGTTCTCTGCGAGGATCTGTTGATTGGAAGGCTTATCATGGAGTTGATGCTAAGCGAAGTGTGATACGGAGCAGATTACATTGTTGTATTTCACTAACTTAAAGGAAAATTTTCCTGAAGTTTTTTCGAAGTACTTGATGGAGAGCTTTTTGAAGTTGCAGATGTGCGCAAAAATGAAAAATAGGTTTCATAATGGGTCAATTAAGAAGCCATGTGTTGGCTCGTGCCGGTTTTCAGATGCCAACTGTTGAAAATCTCAGATTTATTTGGTTTTTTTTTTCGAGTCATGGGAAAATCAAAGAGTCCAAAAAGATTAGCGAAAATTGGGGCGTCTGACTTTTACAGGCTGTTATTTTTATTTACAACCGCCAGATCGGCCTTTTTTCTGTCTTCTTGTTGTTTGAACCAATGTGTCGGTTTTTAAAGGGAGACGCCAATGTGCGAAGATTTTCGACCCAAAAGTGAGATGTTTGTTCTTTTTATTGTTGTGATATTGAACCGGGAAAAGTCTTGGTTTTGAGCTCCAATTTGATTCAGAATAGAGCAGGTAAGTTTTTATTAAAAGTAGTTTTCGAGTTGCTTTGAGCGGAAAAACTGATTTTTTGGATTTACCATTACTAAATTTTTACTTCTCTTTATACACAACGTTAGGCAATATTCATAATTGCAATATCTCGAATTTATGTCCATCTGTTAAAAGTGGCAAGTTCCCACTGAAATACTTCATATTCGTCAAAAATTTCATGGAAAACAATGAAAAGAGGAACTTTTTAAGAATAAAAACCAAAATAGGAAGACATATTACAAGAATTGCATAACAAATAGTTTATTCATCGGATTTGATGAAACCTTTGGCAACACATCTCACAAGTCTTTTTAGGTTTGTTGAAAATTTTCAGGTTCTAACAATAAGGAAACGTTCCTGGAAAATGTCCCGTTTTCAAAGGTGCTCAGCAATCGAAAGTTTCAATAAAGAAAAAACTAACTTTAAAGTCAGGAATAATCTAAAAGAACCGCCGCTAATACCCGGCGCCGGTCGGTACACTCGAGTCGTCGGGTGGCGCAACGCCTTATCCAATTAGTTTTTGTCCCAACTGAAAAGAGAAACTCTGTTAATCTTCTCCCGATGTTTGGGTTGCATTACGGTCAATCTGACTGTATAATAAATATTTTTAGTTTTGTACCTGAACTGGAGGATTGTACAAAAACGGCTCGAGTAGCTGTAAAAAGCGGAGCCTCGTAAATATAATTTTTTTTTGTGTAATAGGAAAGGCTAAAGGTGGTTTAGTTTTGAGTTGAATATGGATTGAATGAAACTGTATTTTTTTTTTACGAGTTTCGGTTGATCTTGAGTTTTCAATTGAAGAAATTTAGAAAGAACATGCAGCTTAGTCTATAATTATGAAGCGCTTAGTTTTATGAAAATGAACGACTTTTGAGTCAAAAAATCAGTTGAATGACCAGACCACAAAAGTTGTAATATGACCCGATCAAGAAGGATATTCTTTCTCCTCTTTTTTTGGGCCGATAAACCGAAGACGAAAAAAGAAGAAGCGGAGCACCTGACGCTACTGTTGCACAACACGGTCACCGGCTCTTGTGTAAAAAGACTATCCATAACTTTGACCCAAATGCCAATTCAATATCTGTTTTTGAGGTCAATAGGCATACTAAAAACAGAGTTATGCATTTCTTCACTGATTCAAAATAGTTCAGGGTACAAAAATGTTCTCAGCTACTTGATTCGTCTAAAAATCATGAGTTTTTTGATAAAAACAAATCAAGTTCAACCGAAATCCATAAAAAGTACAGCTGAATGCGATAGTTATACAACTACCTTCAACCTTTTCCACTCGACGATTACGCAAAATGAGTTTATTTTTACGACGCTCCGCTTTTTACAGCTCCTGGAGCATTTCTTGCACGATCCTCCAGTTCAGTTACACAACTGGAAAGTTTTATTGTTCAGTTAGATTCACCGTAATGCAACCCAAACATCGGGAGAGGATTAACAGAGTTTCTTTTTTCGGTTGGGACAAAAACTAATTGGATAAGACGTTGCGCCACCCGACGACTCGAGTGTACCGACCGGCGCCGGGTATTAGCGGCGCTCTTTTTGGACTTTCTTCCAGATTTCAGAGATAGTTTCTTCTTCATTGAATCGGGTTACTGTAACAAATGTTGAAAATTGGAAATGTTGACTTTAAAGGGTTTTATTGCTGTCAAAAATCGAATTTATCTTTTTTAATTTATTCAAGGAAACTCAAAAAGCTCGTTAAAACACCTCATAGGGACACGACCATAAAGAAAAATAAAGGAATTAATCTTACAGTACAGTCGTGAAACGTATAAGTTTCTATTTTTCATTCCATTATGTTACGAAACTCTGTCTATTACACTTCTACCTGCCCAACCTAAATTTTTTCGATTGTGTTAATCGCAACATACTATTTTTGTAATCAGTAAATTATGCATTTGATCTTTTTATTGAGAATATTGTTCCTCTTATAGGAATCAACATCAAAACACAATTCATTGAATTTAATAAAAGTTTGAAGTTCCTGAAAAGGTACTTTAAACAAACGATTCTTAATCTTTTCCAAATCGAAAAATAATTTTGCTCTATTATTTTTCAAAGTTTACATAACTCACTTTCGGATCGAAAATCTTCGCACATCGGCGCCTTCTTTCAAAAATCGTCATCTTGTCGCAAAAATCCAAACAAAAAAGAAAGAGAAAAGGGCCGATCTGGCGGTTGTAAATAAAAATAAAAGCCAGCAAAACTCGGACGCCGCTTGGGCAGTGTTACTGTAATGGCGTTGGTTTTGAGAAGAAACAGTTTTTAAAATATCGAACTGTTATATTTTTGGATTTTTTTCTTTTCGAAATTGCATTGATGCTCAACAAAATGAATCACGACAGCTTCATTTTATCCTAGAATTTCTTGATTTTATCTGTTTTTTCGCCTCGAGATTCCTTTAAAAATGTTTGATACGGCTTCCGAAACCCAACCCAAATCAAGCTTGAGTAAGTCAAGTATGGTTTATGAGACTCAGTGTTGAATACAGCCAAAAAAAAAAGAATAAAAAGAGCCGCTTGGGCCTCGTGGCACGATGCGCGGCCAACTTTTACGGTCACTCAAGGGCTCATTGAACCTACCAAGAAAGGAGAGAAGAAGTTTGTGTACACTGCGCGGAGCCCTTTTTCAAGCACACTTTTCGCCTGTCACGATCCCTAAAGGGATAACTACGAAGCTGGCTTCTCGCTGAGCATCAACTGGTCTTTCGAATGCCGATCAATGATAGTGAATCGTATGATTCGGTGTTTTGTGAGAAAAATAGTCGAGAGAAGCGTGTTTGCAAGAGGTGACACTCCTAGTTTGGCTGAGAATCAACTCTATTTTTTGGAGCAAGCAAGTTTTTGGTATCTTTGAAAATGAAGGTTCTCTTTCATTTTGTTTGGCTGAGCATCGACTAGACAGTTTTCGAGAAATAAAGCTTGAAAGGCTTGAAGAAGCAGTGCTTCATAACTACGTCTAAATGCGACTATTTGATTTTGAACAAACTATAAAACTTTTCCGCAAATCCTCTCAAATAAACATAACTCATTCTTGACCTTGGTCAAGTTAGCCACGCAATAAGTGGGCGGAGTCTGAGCTACAAGTTCGGATTCATGCCCCGCCCTCTTCCGACTCTTGCTCAGTACTTCTCATAGTTTTTCTGTTCCATTTTTTCTTGTCTTTTTGGTTTTGGTATACTTTAGCTTTTTTTTCGAACGCAAATTTCAAGGCTTAATCGATTTCGTTTTTAATATTTTTCGAATTTCGCACTGATTCTCACGATTTCTAAAATCAAGTATACCTTTTTTTACTAGAACTATGATTTATTTCAAATCAAAAAATTAAAATATTCAAATTTTTGATAAAAATTTTGGCTGAGTAGCTTGCAATACGAAAACTTCTTTTTCAAATTTTTCTGAAAGTTGAATCCGTTTCTTTTTTTCAAAATCAGAAAGTTTTTTTAATTTTTCTTAATCTCATGAAACTTGCAGATGATCCCCGAAGAAGAGAAGAAGAAAGACAGAGCGGCCAGCAAAAAATTGCGCTGCGCTTTCAAAGAAAAACGCCGAAATATACTCTTCAACGACGCCTTCGACACCCTCCAACAGTCGGTTTTTCCTTGTCAATCATTATTTTCAAGGAAAAAAATTCGTTTCTTTGATACATATTTTTCCTAAAAAAATAATTAAAAAAACATGATCAACTTCACAAGAAAAAAACAAAATAAAGTATTATTTACCTGTTGAAACATCATTTACAAGTTGATTCTACTTTTCAGAATCATTTTCTCCTCTGGATTTGAACAAACTTTAGGTTTGAAATAGTAGATTTAACTTTAACTTTAATATAAGTGAAACAATTTTTTTTCTGACAGTGTGATAATTCGCGTCAAGAGTGTATGCACGTCTTACGGCATACTTGACGAACTTCAGTTGGCCTTTTTTGCCATCCGTTCAAATATTGTTCAAAATATAATGTTTATTAACTTTACAAAACCAAAAAAAGTCGATTTCTAGACGTTTGCCACACGTCCCAGATTCTCCGAGGCTGCCCAAAATTAAGACCCTACGATTGGCCACCAGGTACATCGAACACCTTCAAAACGTTCTCAATGGTCGGATTGTGAGTTTTTTTTTTTTTTTGCATCAATAACGCCTATTTACGGTTCGGGAATTGAACCGCGGCGAGGGTTTTTTCTTGGCTACTGCACATGCGCCGATTCTATTAATTATTTCCCTTTATTTTTCCTTTAGCTTTGTTTGCATTCATTTTATCAGTTATCAGATATAAAAGTAGTAAATGAACATTGTTAGCAAGGAAAATTCAGATCCAGCCTTTCGCTTCGCCGCCTCGACCCATTGAAGTCGACGACTTCGCGAATACGGTTTTTGAAATTATAAGAGTGGGTTTTCTTTTTAAAATCTACTTTCTTTGTTTATTCGAAATACTTTGAAATGAGAGGTTGAAAACAAAATAAAATACTTTTTTGAGTCTGAAAATAGAGGTTTTTTCTAGTAGCTTGAGAATCTCATGCCCCTATGGATACATTATCTTTTCGCGTCGATTATTTATCGCGCGCCACGATATCTTTCAATAACGCTCCATTTTTCGATCTTTTTTGAATTAGAAAATAATCGCGTTAAAAAATCGACGCGAAAAATACTGTAGCTACGTGACGAAGTCAGTTGCTGTGCATTTAAAATCTGAACGGACTATGAAAAGGAGAGGGAGCAGAGAAATCAGAACATAAGAAGATTTGAGCTTCTTGAACGTCTCAATCCCCATTTTCAGTCGCGAAACAACTACAGCGAGCGCGCGCAGCTGCTGCAGCTCGAGTCCGCGACATCGCCCGTGACGTCATCGAGACGCGACCGCTCCCCGCTGTCGCCGCCGTCGACGCCCAACTTCTCGCCGGACACCTCGACGTCTTCAGCCCTGGCCCCCTTCTTGGCGATGAACCAACACGAGTTCCACCAGCAATTCCTTATCCCATTGCCTTCTATCGAAAACTCCATGGTTTTCAATGCCGAATACTACGCCCCATGGCACATTTATCAGGTCCGGGGAGGTCGGACTTGAATAGGGATTTTTCAATGTTTTTTATTTTGAAAAGATGTTTAAACTTTGATTTTTCTTCTCTTTCATTCATAGAGCGCAGGTTCTGGAATTTTGAAGCTTTTTTCTCAGATAAGAGATGAACTACTGTTTTTTTTTTCGAAAAAACCTATTTACGATTTCAAATATCTCTAGAACAGTTTTTCCAAAGCTATTTTGTTAACTTTTAACGGATTTTTCGTTTTTTTGAATTTTCTAAGATTATTTTTTTATTTTTTTCTGAGAAACGTTCGGCTCTCCTTCTTTATTTTTTTACCTCTAGTACTTCATTTTCTCGATTTGAAAATTCGTTTTTCAACTTTATTTTTTTGTGTTATTTGAACTCAGCTATGTCAAAAAAATTGCCATTTGAATACTTGCCTCCAAATTTTTGTATAGTTTTTTTAATTTAAATTTATGTTTTTTTTTTTTTGAAGTTTTTCGAACTTCACTTTAAATTTTTGCCTATTTTTGGTTCATTATAATTGTCGGCCTCTTTCACTTTGATCTTAATTTCTTACGTGTAAATTTGTTTTTTTAATAATGGTAATGTTTTTTTGAAAGTGGTTAGCATTTCTGCTTAATTATTTTAAATAATCTTTTTTTCGCGTCTTTTTTTATTGAGAAACTTTTTTTACAAAAAAAGGCACAAAATGAGAAGATTATTAGTTTAGTTAGTTGAGTTAGTGAGTTCAACTACTGTATTATTGTTCCAAACTGGAAACTGAAGTATCAAAGTAGAATAATGAGGGACCGCGTCGCCTCAAAATTTTTTTTTTTGAAAATTCTAAATTTATTTCGTAACTGAGGCTCCACGCAATTAGCTTTTTTTCTATCAGAATATGTTCGCAAATCTTTACTCAAACTTTCCGTGAAAAATTCACTTCGAAAAAAACTGTTTTTTTAGTGCTTTTTTTGCCTCGTTTAACGATCGCTGCATTAAAACGGCCCCGTAAATTTTTTTGGCAAAGACGAATTTTTTTATTTTTATTCTTTTTAATTGAAAGATTTTTTTACTAATAAATGCATATAATCGTTTAAAAAAACCTGCGTTCGACCGCTTTCTGTGTGATAAACGCCGCTAATTTTTATCCTCTATTTTTCAAGAGCATTTTTTTGCGCATTAAACAACTTTTTTTCAAGCACATATGCTGTGGAGAAAAAAATTTAAGTAAGCCCATGGTCTAAATTTTTGAAAAAAACAAAAAAACTCGATTATATTCGCTCATTAACGATATTTTTGAATTATGACTTTCGGTACTCCCTAAAATTTTTTTGGCAAAGACGAATTTTTTTATTTTTATTGTTTTAAAATTACCGTTACTTGAATCAAAATCATTTTATAAAAAAAGAAAGAGTGCGTTCGACCAGAAAACACATGAAAAAGCAAAAAATTACAAAGTTTTTTAGTTCCATTCACGTTTTTGTACGACATTCCGCGAGAACGCATCAAAAAAGCGTGAAATATTTTTTAAACGAAAGAGGAAGCTTTTCTTTACATGTGTGTCCAATTTCACTAGCCAGTTCCACATATTTTACAACTACAACAAAATTAAAGTTGGAAACCAAAAAAAAAGCCACTTTTTCTATCGCGAAAAGGGGCGTGGCTTTGCGGTCCCTGAGTATAGGTCTTTAGGACCTCTCCTAAAGGAGTAGCTTCAATTATTTAGCAGGTTTTTCACTTCTGAAGGAAGCTTGCTGACGCTGAATAATATTATTCTCTGATCCATTTCCTTTTTTGACATATGCTCTTGAAACACTTGAAAATTCTCCTGGAACTCCTACTCTTTTATACTTTTCTCCATATTGCTTGTCTTCTAACTCCAAATCATTTAGAAAATCAAGACATTCCTTATTTGATAAGGTCTTTTTAGTTTTCAAAGTAATTGCTAAATCAATGGTAGGAATTTCTACACTCTGGTATTTCAGTTTTTCATTATATTTCTTTCTAAGTTCATTATGCTCGTCTCTTTCTTTTTGAAAGTCGTAATGTAATTGTTCAATCAAAAGTTGTTTCTTGAAAATATGATAACCAGTGTAGAAAGTTCTAAAATATCTGATGTTGATAAAGCAGCCTACAAATATGCATTTACTGAATTATTAATTAAGAAGTGTGAAAGTGAATGTAAAAGAATTATAATCAATGTTTCAAAGATTTCTAATAAAAAGACTTTACTCTATTAATTTACCCTACTGCCATACCTTATTACAATATTACTTTACTTTTATCACTTAGAATTTTTTTACTGTAATAAATGACAGAGTTGAGACTATCTAGATTTATAAAAGATGTACGAAAAATTAATGGATCATCAAATGTAGACTTGACAGAAATAAGTATGTATACGAAAAATGAAAATACTAGAGAAACTGCCCAGAACTATTTAGATGCTATTTCTTTTGAAGTGCGCAGCCCCTAACCATCCTTATCGATGATCTGCATGAAAGTACGACGCTTGTCGATCTCCTCCACCCACAAAAGGTGCTGCTTGATGTTCTCCGAAGTGAAGCCAACTCGTCCGACGGCCAGGAACACGTAGTCCGGCTTCAAAAAGTCCTTGGCGAGGATCTTAAGGCGAAAATTCGATGCGGGTCGGAATGAATAGTTAAGCTTCGAGCTAGGTGATCAGTGAATGGAACTGTATACTTCACAGATTTTGGTTGATCTTGATTTATTTTTATCAACAAAAAAAAATGATGGGTGTCCGTGACTCAAGTAGCTGAGTGTATTATTCATGACGCTGTAAAAAAAGCTTATTTTCAATACTTTTTGTACCCTGAACTATTTTGAATCAGTGAAGTAATGCATAATTCTGCTTTCTAATAAACCTATTGACCTCAACAACAGATATTGAATTGGCGTTCGGGTCAAAGTTATGGATAGTCTTTTTACACAAGAGCCGGTGACCGTGTTGTGCAACAGTCGCGTCAGGTGCTCCGCTTCTTCTTTCTTCGTCTTTGATATATCGGCCCGAAAAAAATTATATCCTTTTCGTTTAGGTTGGTTTATAATTTTGGGGTCATTTAACTTATTTCCCGACTCAAAATGAAATTATTTGTACAAAAAAATGAGCGCGTCATAATTATAGACTCAGCCACTTTTTGAATAAATTCATTTGAAAAAAAAAACTCAGGTTCAAGCAAAATTAATAAAGAAAGACAGTTTTCTTAAATCATAACATAACACAAAACCAAAATATTTTCCACGTTCCTAGTTACGCAAAATAAGTTTATTTTTACGGCGCTCCGCTTTTTACAGCTCCTGGAGCATTCATTGCACGATCCTCCAGTTCAGTTACACAACTGGAAAGTTTTATTGTTCAGTTAGATTCACAGATTCACCGTAAAGCAACCCCAACATCGGGAGAGGATTAACAGAGTTTCTTTTTTCGGTTGGGACAAAAACTAATTGGATAAGACGTTGCGCCACCCGACGACTCGAGTGTACCGGCCGGGTATTAGCGGCGCTCTTTTTGGACTTTCTTCCAGATTTCAGAGATTTCTTCCAGATTTCAGAGAGAGAGTTTCTTTTTCTCCTCAAGCAAACTATTGAAGTTCCGGTATTTTTTTTTGCGAAAATAATCTAATAATCACTGATTAAAACCATCGAAATTTTTAAGAACGAAATGCTCGTCAAAAAACTCAACGTGACTCAATTAACCTTTATAGTCTATTCCGCGCGGGCTTGTCACGGTTTTTTTCCCGCCAAAAAGACCGTATACCAAATTAGATCAAATTTCTGCTTTTATAACGGCAAGAAACAAAGGTCTTGTAGCGAGAGTTGGTTAAATTTGACCTAGCCTTTCGGCGGAAAGAAAAACGTGACAAGCTAGCGCGGAATGGCCTTTATATAAAAAACTTATCTTGTAGGAAAGTCGTAAAACGTACAATTTCCCTTTTGGTTTCAGTCTCAAAAAGTTCCGCCTTTAACAGTTCTCTACACACATATTACCAATTTTTTTCAAAAAAATTACAATCGAAATTGACTTAATTTCGGCAAATTATTACGAATTTTGAGTATTCAAAATTAAAACTTTACTCCTCTTGTTCCTTTTTTTGAAAGTTCGCTCCAAAGTACAAATCTTTCAATGAGAAATTCAAGAAAATTCAATTTTTTTCTGTTTGAAAAATCTGTTTTTTTCACAAACTTTCCATTTTCTTTTTTTCAACTGGAATCGAAACTAAAAAAATCAAGATTCCTCTTGGTTCTTCAATATCACAACAATAAAAAGTCGAAGTCTAAACATCTAACTTCTGGTTCAAAAATCGTCACACATCGGCGTTTGTTTTTTGATTGACACATTGTCACATAGATCCAAAAAAGAAAGAAAAGGGCCGATCTGGCGGTTGTAAATAAAAATAAAAGCCAGCGAAAGTCGGACGCCGCTTGGGATGGGTTACTGTAACTACGTCGCACTTGCAACTAGCAGTTTTCGGGTCTAGACATTTTGAAAATTTGACAGAACTTTTTCTGTTTTCCTGTTCTTAAGGTAAAGTCGTTGCTCTGCGAAATAGAATACGGAGCGACTTCTTTTTAAAAAAAAAACTGTTTATTGCATCTTCAATGTAAGAGTACATGTGCGATCGACTTTCATTGATTTGACTGTATTTAAACGGCGGCAGGAGCTGTGGCTTAGGCCGAGACGTTGTGAATTTCGCTCGTAGAACATCAGGTACAAGAGAGGTCGTAGGAAGAAGTACGGTGCCGGCTTTCCAAGGGCCGATGGCAGAGATTGAGTCTTTTCGCTGCATGCAGCTCCCAATTTTATCTACCCCGGAGGGATGAAAGGCTTGGTCGACCTCGGGGGGACTCGAACCTACGACCTTGCGGACGTTAGAAATGAGTTATGCCAGCTGAGCTATGCCGCCCCGACTTCTTTTAATCTCTCAAAATTTTTTTATTGCTTTTACGTCTCGAGATATATCTAAAATCTTTTATACTCCTTTAAAGACCGAAAGAAAAAAATCTAGTGAGTCAAGTATAGTTGCCGATGCCTCATCATGAGACCCAGTTTTGAATACAGCCAAAAAATAAGAATAAAAAGAGCCGCTTGGGCCTCGTGGCACGATGCGCGACCAACTTTTACGGTCACTCAAGGGCTCATTGAACCTACCAAGAAAGGAGAGAAGAAGTTTGTGTACACTGCGCGGAGCCCTTTTTCAAGCACACTTTTCGCCTGTCATACAAAACTGGCTTTTCGCTGAGCAACTACTAGACTTTTGTAAACCGATTTTGTCTAAGAAAATTGATTTTCGTTACAAAACTGTTGGTTTTTAAGAACTGACACTCCGTATCCCTTATGGCTAGCATCAATTGGAATTTTAAATGCCGGTCAATGATATGGAATCGTCATTTTCGGTACTTTCCTGAGAAAATTAATCAATAATTTTTAATTTTTTTAAATGTCAGGAGGAAAATTTTCACACCGTATCCTATTTGGCTGAGCATCAACTTGCTTTTTTTTTTCTGAGTATGTTTTTTTCTCTGAAGCAGAAAGATTTTTATACCTTTGAGTTTTTTTTTTGTCTCTCGATCCGTATCCCACTTGGCTACGCATCAGCTCTGAAATTTGAAAAAAATTCTAAATGCCGAACCAGAAAATTGCTGTATTACATTTAGCTTAGAATCGGCTAAAATACTTTTCGAGAAATCAAGCTCAAAAGGCTTGAAACAAAGCGTCATAATTATTGACACAGAACATCTTTCCACTGAATCATTCCAAATGAGACCATTTAATTTTAATGAAACATTTTTTCTCAAATAAACATAATTCATTCTTGACCCTGGTCAAGTTCCCCACATAAGAAGTAGGCGGACCCTGAGCCATAAGTTTGGATTCATGGCCCCGCCCCTTTCCGACTATTGCTCAGCGCTCCTCAGAGCTGTTATGATATTTCCTGTTTTCGTCAATTTTGTTTTTTGATATTTGTCAGCTTTTTTTGAAATTTTCATGAAAATAAGTCGAAAAAAATTGTTTAAAATTCAGAGGCTTCAATTTAATCGATGAAATTTCAAGTTTTTTGACTTTTCTTTTCAAGTTTCATAAAAATTTAATTAAAGCTACCTATTTTGACGAATCTATGATTCATTTCAAATCAAAAGTTTACAATATTCAAATTTTTTTGATAAAAAAATTTTTGGCTGAGTAGCTTGCAATACGAAAACTTCTTTTTCAAATTTTTCTGAAAGTTGAATGCGTTTCTTTTTTTCAAAAATCAGAAAGTTTTTTTAATTTTTCTAATCTCATGAAACTTGCAGATGATCCCCGAAGAAGAGAAGAAGAAAGACAGAGCGGCCAGCAAAAAATTGCGCTGCGCTTTCAAAGAAAAACGCCGAAATATACTCTTCAACGACGCCTTCGACACCCTCCAACAGTCGGTTTTCCTTGTCAATCATTATTTCTGAGAGAATAATATTTTATTTCGATTTTACTAAAGAGAAATGAGGTAACGATATCAGAAAAAAAATAATTAAAAAACTAAATTTCTTATTCAGTAGTTGAAAAGTTCATTTTCCTTTTTTAAAAGTTCAGTTACAAAGAAACGAATCGATCGAAATGAAAAAAAGAGACAAAACAAATTTCAGGTAACCCGACATTGCCAACATGTTTGATTTTCAGCGTAAAAGTATAATAATTCGAACTTTTCTGTGTTTCTTGCATACCATATAGTTATTAATTATTACCAGCGCCCATTGATTGTTGCTTTTTCCGTACGTATCTCGACGAGACGAATGGAATGATTATAACTTCATGCTGAAAATCAAACGTGTTAGTAAAGTATTTTCAAGTTCTGTAGCCTTCATTCTGACGCTTTTTGTTTGGTTTTTTCTAACCTCAAAAAAAAAAAACGATTGTCGATGACTCTTTAGAGAAAATACTTACTGAAAAAGGGAAAAATGAGAGAAATATAAAAAGCTGGGTTTACGTAAAAACGACTAAGTATTTCAAAAACTTATATGAAAATGAATGACAAAAAACGATTTGCCAACTAAAGGTCGTCAGATATGACGCTAACGGTGCATACACCCTCGACACGAATTCGTTGAAAATCGCTAATTTCCAGACGTTTGCCACACGTTCCGGACTCTCCGAGGCTGCCCAAAATTAAGACCCTACGATTGGCCACCAGGTACATCGAACACCTTCAAAACGTTCTCAATGGTCGAATTGTGAGTTTTTCTTCGCATCAAGACAAAATTGAGCGAAAATTCTTAGAAAATGAAATTCAGATCCAGCCGTTTGCCTCGCCTCCTCGACCTATTGAAGTCGAAGATTTCGCGAATACGGTTTTTGAAATAATAAAAGTGCGTGTTATTTTTCTAACTTACTTCCGTATTTTAATGTTAGGTTTTGATTGAATAATTTTTTGAGCTTTGGAAATGGACGCTTAGTTTCCATATAAGCATTCGAGCTTTCGAGTGTTCGCTCAAGTTTTTATTGAACTATTAAATTCTTTGTTTTCCATAATTGCTCAGCTTTCAAAATTTTTTAAAAAATCTTGCGAGAGCTTTTTCTATAATTATTAGTTTGATAGTTTTTGTGTAGGGCTCAGAGGAATCAGAATTTCCGGGTTTCTTGAACGTCTCAATCCCCATTTTCAGTCGCGAAACAACTACAGCGAGCGCGCGCAGCTGCTGCAGCTCGAGTCCGCGACATCGCCCGTGACGTCATCGAGACGCGACCGCTCCCCGCTGTCGCCGCCGTCGACGCCCAACTTCTCGCCGGACACCTCGACGTCTTCAGCCCTGGCCCCCTTCTTGGCGATGAACCAACACGAGTTCCACCAGCAATTCCTTATCCCATTGCCTTCTATCGAAAACTCCATGGTTTTCAATGCCGAATACTACGCCCCATGGCACATTTGTCCGGTCCAGGGAGCTCGGACTTGAGGTTTGATTATTCTAAAAAAAAGATGCTCTCAGATATATTTATACATAGAGCAGTATTTCTGAGCCGACTGAGAGCTATTTTTTTCGCAGATAATTTTTTTAATCTTTTTTTCCAGGACTTATTGTTATCCTAGAAAACTTCGACTTTCCTCCATTTTTTTCCTCTTTTTGAAGCTTCAAGTTGCTCTCCGTTTCGCATAATATAAATTTAATTATTTTGATGATTTAATTCAAATTTCAGCTATGCCGAGAATTGTCATTTGAATAGTTGACGTTAAATCAAGTTATCATCAAAATGATTTGATTTTTTTCTGATTTTTGCTCTGTAACAGTAATCGGCTTTATTCACTTTTTAATTTTTATTTTTTTACGTGTTAATTGATATTTTCCTTTTTTTTCCATTTTTTTTCAAATATCAGCATTTGTGCCAAAATTTCTTGCCATTGGACTGTCTTGTGCCTTTTGTGCTTTTTCAAGAATATTATTGACTTTTTCTTTAATTTTTGTGTTTATTTTCATTAATAAAGTAACAGTTAATCTAATGTTTTTCCGATTTTTTTCTCAAAAACTATCGAAACTTGACCAAAAATAATAAACTGACCTTTTTCCCAAATTGAGATCAAGTGGTGGTTGTCAAGCCGTTTGTTTATATAAATAAGGGTCGAGCCAGTCGATCCTTCTAGGGAATCTCGAATAGTTCTCGATTTACGCGCGCCATCGACTCGGCCAACAGGGGCCAGGGCGTCTTATTTCAGTTCGGGAGACTCTTGAAAAACAACATTTTAAAGAGAAATTACAAGATTTAGACTATAATTTACCTGCCCTTTCATTTGAATCGTCGTGACCGCACTTGAAATCGCTGTAAGCTTCACGGTCTCGTTGTGGTTCGGATCAACTTGCTCCCAATAAAACTCGTTTTGGTTGCAGTTCGAAGAGTTGAGCCATTCTATCTACAACCCCTTCGTTAAAAAAAACCCAACTAGAAGTTTATAATAATGGAAAAAAAAACATTTCTTTTTTTCTGAAAATTTCGCCATATCGACTCAAAACTGATTATTCACCCAGAATAGAAAACTATTTTCCGATGCAAAGATCGCGCTTATCTGTTAATTTTCATCCTCAACGCGCCAGAATTCTCGAGATTTTACAGTTTTAATCCCTGCAATCGGAATTGATTGAAAACAAGTTATAGTCAAAATATGGGTATTCGGGTCTTTATGATCAGTACTGTAGGAGCGCCCGAGTGCTTTCTATAGCAATTAGGAAAAACCTTATTAAAAAGGACAAAAAAAGTGATCCATATAGGGGTAAAAATTAGGTGGTCCCTCTAGTGATTTGACCGCTAAACTCCTAAGAGCCTTTAAACTTTTTGTTATTATTTGAAAGTCATATATACAAAGTTGGTCAAGTTATCTTCTTTTGATAATTTTTCATTCAATAACGTTAATTTATTTAGTTTTTCGCGTCTTCTTATAGAGCTGGAACAGAAATCAAAACAGAATGAAAAATGCTTCCCTATAGTGGCCACTTTTGCAAGCCTTAGTGCTCCCTATAGGGAGAGGTATAACGCTCCTTAAATTAAAGGGGAGCCTTCGAACGCCCCTAAGGTTGCCCCTATAGAGATCACTGTGGCATTCCTAAGAAGCTGGACTATTTTTGTTTATGAGTATTCAAACGATTCCGTCCACTTCAAAGAGCTCTTTTTTCGGAAGGGTGACAAAAGACCGTTTTGTTTACACATTTTGAATCGAATCAAGCCACAAAACCTCTGAGATTCGGAACGATTTTGGCGCCGCGTCCGGCGCTCCTATTGTTCTCACCACATTGTAAATCCCACGTTTGGCACCGGGGTCGATGTCTCAACCACATCAAGGCGTGAATAAGCGACATATCGCGCCGTTTTTCCTCCCATTTTGTCATTTTGACGGCGCGCCGAGTTGCGGTTTCTTTTCTTGTCTTGTAATTTCTCGTACTTTAGCTCTTCTTGTCAACTTTATTTTCGTCTTTCGAGCAATATGGAAAGTTCAAAAGCTTGTCTTCTTTTATGAAAGCTTACTCATCCTCAGTCTTGAACTTGAACCAAAATGCTCTATAACACAAAAAAAAATGCTTTGTTTTTTTCTTGAAAATACTAGAGTCAGCTATTTTAACGTTTGTTAAAAATTTTTTTCAAAATAATTTTTCAAAGCTTTTCATCAGCTTTTTGCTTGCTCAATGTTTCGAAAGTGAGCCGGAATTCTTGAAAAATAGCAAAAATAGTTAAATTTTAAAGTCGATTAAGTAGTTCAAAAGTTCATTTACCTTCTCTTGAAGCTTTTCCATAGCCATCGTCTTGAAAGTAATGAAATCGCTCGGAATTCAAAAAATGCAGTGTAGAAATTCTAGCGGAGCATGGGATCAGTTCCAGAGACCGGAAAAAATCGAATTCTCCTTTCTTTCCTCAATTTTCGTTGGGTTTTTATTGATCAAGTGAAAATTTCATAATATCATGCTCCTCCAAAATTATTTACTTCACGATTTTTTGTCTAGGAAAACAAGATTTGTTTATTCTAAACAGTTTCTATTTTTAACAAGAAATCAGTGATTCATCCAAAAAAAAAAAAGCAATTTTCCGATGCAAAGTTCACTTTTATCGGATCGTTTTTTTTCTCTCCGCATCAAAAGAATGTTTTAAATTTCCCAATTATTTTAAACTGCCGTAGAGCTCAAGTGTTCCTTATGACATTTTCGATTAAGATTTTGACTTTTATTATTTTTGACCTATATCTCAGGCAAATTCTGGGAAGGTGTTGGGAAGGTAATCGGAAGGGGTCGGATGGAGGTGTTCAGAAGGCAGTTGGAAGGTCTTTGGAAGAAAAAAAAAACTCAAAATTTCGGGCAACTTTCCAGAAGCCTTCCGGAAACCTTCCAGCAGGCTTCCGGAAGGTAAGTAGAAGGGGTTGGAAAGCTATTCGGAAGGCTTTTGACCACGTGCTGGAAACCTTTCCAACGCCTTCCCAGTACATTCCGAACACCTTCCCAGGAACTGCCTGAGATGAAATTTAAAAGAACTCTTTCTCGACAGCTCTTCTTTGAAATTTCAGAATCAGCCATGCATTTCGACGCAATTTCGAAAATAGCAAAAAAAAAACTTCTCATTTCAGGCTTGCAAAACTTGAAAAAAGAAGAAAATGGATTCGGAAGACGAGAAAAGCGACTTCACCCTCATCGTTGAAGGCCGCAGGATTCCTGTTGTCAAGGAAAAACTAGCGGAACGGTTTATTCTCCCTCTCTCATAAATGAAAAATGAAAAAGCTCAGCTCTCCTGTCTTCCGTGCCATGTTCAGTGACGAGGGAGCCGGTGAAGCTGAGATGGTTCGTTATTCTTCTTATTTTTTTATTTAAGAAAAAAGCCATTCAACATGCGGTTTTAGTCGATTAACTGTGAATAGACTAACTTTGAAATTCCTTGTGTTTTCCTGGTGAGATAAAAATATTCCTGGTGAGATAAAAATTGGAATAGAACGAACAGAAATACAAACCGCTGAATTCCCATAAATAATCAGAAAAGAAACATTCAACTCTCAAAATTTTTAAGCCAAAAAAGCTATTCCAAATGCGGTTCCTAAAAAATCATATTGAGAATATTACCACCACCATTACCTTAGGCCAAAAACCAGAAAAATAAGCAAATTTATTCCCATCAACCGCGTACGCGCACGCTACGCATCCCGCCCCCTTCTCCGCCTCCTTCGCCTTTAGACTCGGCATGGATTGACTATAGCACTTTCGAATCAAAAAAGCCGTTCCAAATGCGCGGCCCTTGTTCAGACGAGCGCAATCATCGAGGACATGCATTTCGACGTGGCCGAGCTGTTGGTCAACGGCTTCAGCGGAAAGAATCGTCCTCCGGTCGAAACGATCCGAGATCTTTTCGTCGCTGCCGACCGCTACCAGATCGAACAGCTGAAGAAGAAGGCCGAGCGCATGCTCATCGCCGACCTCACTCCGAATAACGTCGAGAGCTACCTCGACATGGCCGAACTCTTGAACGCTCGCATCTTGATGCGGCGCTCGGTCAAGGTGTACTATATTCAAATATTATCTCACCTACCCTCTAAATCTTGAGAAGAAGCACGCTCGATAGCACTTTCCCTTCAGGACCATTTCGGAAATTATGAAACAATTCGTTTTTTTTAAATCTACGAACTGGATAGGCGCACACTTGTTCTGCGCCATTTGGGTTTTTAAAGGCATAGGGGCAGTAAAAAACGGTGTTTCAGTTCAAATCAGTACTTTGTAAAGTTTTTCATTGCGAATCGAACGGTAAACTTGGGAACGTACCGAACTTCCTAGTTTTGAAGAAAAAATACTTCAAAATCGGAGAAAGGAAAGCTTGAGTTCCCGCGAAAAGTGCGCTTTGCAGTAAAGTTGCTCTATGGACAACAGGCTTCGCCACCTTCCGGATTTTCGCTTTTTTCTTCGTTCCTTACAAATTTCAATTTTTTCTGTTGTTACCAAAGTTCTTTTCGTCACAACAGCTTTCTATTCATGTATAATTTTCAAACTTTGATCGCAAAAATGCTTTTCTGGTGAAAAAAGATGATTTTACACTGGTTTCGATTGGGATAGCGTTAATTTGTGTTTTCTTTATTATCACTGCGTGTTTTCTGTTTTCTTAATCGATTTTCAGAGAAGAAACCATTCATTTGAAGCAGATATCCGGTTATTTATCACAAAATGCGAGTCTAATGAGACGTCCGCAACATCGCGTGCACAGCTACTGTAATCAGTTGTCTGAACACCGATCCAAAGCTTTTTTCAAAATTAAAGGCGCGAAAGTGAAATTGCGTTTTTCTTCTAGAGATGTCACATTTGTAATTTTTTTGAGTACACCGTTGGATTCGCAAAGAAAAACTATACAAGATACTGCTTTCACCTGAAACCCCATTTTTTACTGCCCCTATGCCTTTAAGCTTGTTTATCGACTTACGAGGGAAGTGTGTAAGGTGAGCATCGCATATATGGTTCGAACTTCTGTGGAAGGTATTTTCAGTTATGAGCATTCGAAAACAAAAAGAATTATTCATATGGTGCTAAGAAATAGCTTATCGAAAATGTACAGTAAAAGCTCAAAACGAATTATCTTTGGGTTTTTTTCTTCTCAGTACTCTATGGCGCTTAGCATATAATTCTTTCTGTTTCCAAGTACTCATACCTGGGACTATCATTCATAGAAATTAAGACCTGATCTGCGATGTTCACCTCCTACACTTTCCTTGTTAGTTTCCAAATTTAATTATTTGACGTAACGTAAGTAAAAACCGGTCAAGCTCTCCATCGACTCTCTCGAATTTCGTGTGTTGGGACGAAAGAGCTGAATTTCAGAAGATCCTGGAATACTGGATTGAGAGTCGCAGACCGGTGAAGGACCAGAAGGAGCTGGTGGAGCGTGTCGCCGCGTTAACCTTCGGCAACAAGTTCCGAGTCAGCTTCTCGGTCCTGAAAGGCGTTCTCTGGGCAACCAACCAAACTCAGTTCGAGGAGTTGAAGGAGACGTGCATCGAGCGGCTCATCGGCATCATGTCAGCGGAGAACGTCTACGACATGACCGTCTTGGCCTACTCTTGCAATGCGCCTATCCTCAAGACCAAGGCTACCGAGGTGGGGACTTCGCGACGTTTTTTTCCTGACTCGATGAAGTCATGAACTAGGAGTGATAGCGTCAAAGGTCTCTAACTTGTAGAATGACGTCATCACCTACTGATAAATTCTCAAGTTCGTTCGCTTCATTGAGGAACAGTTATGAATTCCCACAAAAGTCCTTGTGTCGGTCTCAATTAAGCTTATAAAATAATGGTAAAAATCGAAAAGGGTCATTTTCTCATGTTCAAATGGGCTCTAATGACAAAAAAAATATGAGATTAAAATACTTTATAGGCCGCGAATACGATTTACGGAACGTGGGGACCCGGAAGAAACAGTAAGAAAACTCGCTTGGCTCGTCACCATGCGTTCCGCGAGCCACGCCTCTAATCCCTGCCGTTTCTTCTCCAGTTGCCATGTTTTCAGCCAGATTACTACCGGTCGTTGACTATCTGGTACATGTGCTTTTTACCGAGTAATTTTCGATTTTTTCCGGTTAAATAAATGTTGTTTTTTGATGATTTTTACTGGAGAAAAAAGTTGAGGAACCACTCGAGGAAGAAAGATTGAAAAAATCTAGAAAGGGTGAAAAAATCGCCACGTGGAGTTCGCTTCATTTATAGTTCTTCTTCTTTCGCTAATATTAAAAATAAAATTTGCAACATTTATGTTCTGGGGATAGCAAGAGAATTAAAGTTATTATAGAGGTTGAACCCGCGAAATTGAATAGAAGAAAAGATCGGTTAAAAGGTTGAGATCAGGCGATGAATTGGGCGGTTTGCAAAGTGCGGACAGTACAATTCTTCAAAATTTGAAAAAATCGAAAAGTTGGAAAAAAATTTTAAACCGAAATGTTTGGCTTAATAGATAAATAAGCTTAGGAAGCGGGAATTTATCTCAAAAATGACACATAGTCGCACTGGGAATGGCTCAAGATGTCGCGGCCGCAACCTAGCAAAGTCGTGATAAGTCGGCCGCCATTCAAACCTAGTCATTTAAATGCGAATTCATCCTTCCAGTTTAGAGCTGATAAATATTTCATTTTTTTTTTTAGTTCTAAATACTCCTGCTCGCCCTGGGAATGGCTTAAAGCGTCGCGGTCTCGAATAAAGCGTTCTTGTAGCCATTTCAAATGCGTCCACTTTTATCAAATTGAAGCCAGTTCTACTGTCCAAACTCTCCCAACCGTCTCAAACCTAAAGCAGTATTTAAGTGAATAATTGACTTTTTCGAAAAAAGTCTAAACAGTCGAGATTTTCTTTCTACATAATTGTACACTTCGATGGGATTCGGGGGTTGCAGCAGTGAAAGCGGTGGAAATTGCTCCAAATGGAGCTGGAGGTGCTCGGAGCCCCAGGAAGAGGTGGCAGGAGGTCGAGGTCATCGGAGAGCGAGTCGGCATCGAGGTCAAACGAGTCCGTCAGCCTCGAACGCTCTTTTTGGGTCGCTCCGATGTCTGGAGGGGAAATTGATTGAAAAATCAGTTTGGCACCTTTTCACAGCACAACAGTTAAGCGCGAACGAGAAAAGCGGACTCTTGTAGAAAAAAGCCGCAAAAAGTCTGAATTTTCGCGTTTCAGGGACAGCTTTCTTTGAAAAAATAGCCGGTAGAGAAGTCCGATATATGAACAACACCAAGCAGCACGACAACAAACACAGCGAAGGATGTAAGTTGCGCTCCATGAATAACATCAGAATAACATTAGAAAAAGCCCCAAAAATGTCCCTGCCAGTTTTCCAGGAAGCTTCATAATCATCAACGGAACGCTCGAAAGAGTCGCTAAAATCTCAAAATTTTGCGATTCATATATGAAATTAGAAAAAATAGTCGCTCAAATCCAGAAGACTGTACCACGTTCGAGCAAACCAAGCATCGCAAAACAAGAGGAAAAAAGACGGTAACCATTCAAAAATTGAGTAAAAAACTAACTATTGCTCCGGCTGAACTGTCCTTTGTCCGATTCTTCTTCTTTATCTTTTTCCTCATCACTATCCAAGGGGCAGTCGAAAAGACGACTTTTCTCCTCTTCTTTTGTCACTCCTCTGAAAGTTCATAGTGAAAGAAAGAACAAATTCAAAAATGGTTTGCTTTTTAATAGCTCACGATGTAACTACTGTATAGACCCATTCCTAAGGCGGCTACAAAATCCCATGAGCCCCAAAACGCTACGCAACTGTGACGCGTCCAGCTATCCCAATAAATCTAAAGAGCACAGGACTACTTGCACTCTATGGCATCGCAACGTTTGATTCAATCCGAACGCGGTCATAGCGTTTTCAAAACGGCGCCGGACTATGAACCGACTTGCGCCTTATAACAAGCCATTCCAAATGCGGCTTCTTCTATCCCACCTCCGCTCTTTTACGTCCTCCGAATCATCGGCATCATCCAAAGAGAATACTTCCGTTTCATTGGCAAGCACTCGTGGCATCCCTGAAAGTGAAATAATTGAAAAGAGCCCTTGGTTCAGTGGCTCAAGCCCTTGGCCATCACCAACATGGTCCGAGGATCAAGTCCTCTTCTCGTTTTTGCCATTCTCACCTGTCGACCGAATTTGATATTTGGCGTATCCATTCGTGGCCACGGAGGTGCTGGCCCCGTTCATCCGGTACAGCTACGCAGTTTCTGATGAAAATTGCAACTGTAGAAAAAAGAACCATTGATCCAATAAAATACAGATAAATTCGAGGTTTTTCAACCTTTCGAAACATAGAAATACACTAAATAAGTAGAATAAGCTTTATTCAATTCGTAAATTTAAAAAAAAAACAATGATATAAATTTCTAGTCATGTAGTAATATTTTTGGAGGTTGACGAAAGTTACTTTTTCTGCTGGTCTGAAAAATATTAGATGAAAAATATTAGATGCACGGCTTGCTTCAAGGCCACGCCTACTTTTGCGCCAGGTTTTATCTCGCATTTACATCTTGCTTTCAGGGTAAAAAAAAGCGTTTTTTTTAAATTTTGGAAGAATATGCGCCGATTGCATTGAGAGTGATCCCACTAGTTTCTGGCGTCGAATCAAAAACAATTGTTCGAAAATTGCTTTTACGATTTTTTGAATACTTTTCTCTCACTCGGCAACTTGAAGTGCTTCTTGAGGGACAGCCAATCCTTGTAATATCCGGTGTCGACGTGTTCGTGGATCGCCCAAGGAGTAATAACCATGTTCAGCGAGCTTTCGAACATGAATGACTGGAAAAATTCAATTTTCTACAAAAACAAAGGTATCCCGAAAAAGGTTTAGAAACGGTTCAATCAGAAGTATTTTGAAGCGCTTTTGAGAGTGCGCCCGACTCAAAACGACTCTAGATCTCCATCTCTGCGACTGACTACGATCTCGCAGAAAAATGAACTTATTCAACGAGTTCTTGAAAGCTAGGTAGCATGAAAAAAAAACAAAATCAGAAAAATGCTATTTTTTCTGTATATTACGGGTATCCGACTAAAAACGAAGTGCTCTGTGACATAACAGGGTGTTATAAAAAGCCGCACCGCAACCGCAACACATTGAATCATTCCGAATGCGGCTTACCATGGTGTTCTCGGCAACGCGGACGGGTTGAAGCGATTCTTGAGAGCATTTTTCGAAGCAAGCAAAGTCGGGTCCGTGCGGCGTCATCATTGGGTGCAAGGAACCGCCTGGAAACTTTTTTTCTTGTTTTATTGCTGACCGTCTTCATACTGGTTGCAAAAAATATCCTATACACTTTTTCCTTGTTCATAAACTAAGTAGTTTCATGGCTATCCTAAACTCGACTTAAAAGAGACGTTTTCGAGTAAAGTGAAACATTCCTGCTCCCCCTGCACGCCACAAAATCTATACGTGATCAAAGTAACAATCCAGCTCATACATTAGAACTTGGAAAAAACAAAGAAACGAACCGCCAGGCTTGAATCCACCTTCCTTCGCCTCATAGACGCCGGTAATCAAGCCCATGTATTCCGACATGCAGTTTCCTAGAAAAATCTCGAATATACGAACAGAATAACAAGTCTTCACTTGAAAAATAAGGCACCTATCAATTTCCTATGACAAAACGTGCAATTTGTGGGCTTAAGAGAAACTTGCAGTTTTGTTATTTTGAAGGGGACAGATTAATATTGATAGAAAAGGATTTTTTTACGGGAAAAATTTTTTTGAAAAAAAGTTTTTTTGAGTCTTTTTCGGACATCTTGCTCTCTTACATTCAATGATTAGTCTTTACGAAATTTTCAAGTCTTTTCACTAAAAAAACAACTTTGAGAATGTGGGAGCGAAAGACTAACCGAAGCAAGAAGAGACGAGAGACAATTAGAGTGTCTTTGTTTCTCTGAAGTTTCTTCAGGTCGCTAAATCTATTGCTTACGGTTTTTGTGCCTTTTTTTTCGCATTGTTCCCATTTGACCTCAATGATCTCTAGAAAATATAGGAATGCGAAACTCAGAATAGGTCCGACACGGGTAATCATCAATTCCTATTATTTAAATCGTTTTTTGGAAGTTCTAACCGCTAAAATCTCTATAGAAGAAAGCGCAAACCACTAAGAGTCGGCCGCAGTTTCAAAACCATCGAGTCTCACTTTCGCATATAATTATGAGAAACTTCTCAACCAAACCTTCTACCATCTAGATTTTTTAACAATCATCAAAGTACAGCAAAAACCAAATGAAGCCGGTTGCAAATAAGCAGGCTCACGATGATAGTAAGGAGGTCTGAAGGTGTGGTCGGCGCAGCCCCAGCGAGGCGGGAAGATGACGAAATCCGCCACGGCCGTTCCCGGTTTCAGTGATGGCGCCGTCAGAACCGTGAAGATCGACGGGTCCTGGAAATCCTTATTAAAGGGGCATGGAGTGTCGATACCATTTATTGGAGTAAACCCTATTGCCAAAATAATTTATCCCCTTTTTTGAGCTTAGTCTTATGAAAATCTTCTATTGTAACACAGAAAAAAGTGAACTTCGAAAGGAAAAAAGGGAAACCAACGCAGTGATCGAAAGAAACGGTGTTGATGACTTGGAAACGGCGGAGGTCGTACTTGAACGGAACGTAGTTGCCGTGCCAACCAACCACGTCAAACGGTGAGTGATCCTGCAAAAAAAGCCATTTTTTGAGGATTGATTCCTTCAGTTATCACCAGAACACACTGGTTACCACCCTTTTTGGTTATCATCAGTGTGCTCTGGTGATAATTGAAGGCATGGAAGATACTTGAAAAAAGAAGGAAGTGATAGAGTTCATAAAATTCAACAAGAAAGTTAAAGTGGCTTCATAAAAATAACAAATTATGGGATTCGCTCGCCATACTCGCTTACTTCAAGATTTGAGGCGAATCAATGAAGAAAATATTACTCAAAGATTCAATAAATGAATAAATAAGAGATTTTTGTTACAAATACTGATTTATTATCGAAACCAGACATTGCTATAAAACTATTTCAAGTCTGAAGCCATCTCTGACTGAGCTCTGTTTGAAGAGAATATCTGCTCGAAAGATAGAAACGATAGATGAAAAAAAGTGACATTTTTCAGTTAACGATGAGTGATCTAATGATAATTTTTTTAATTTAGAGCATTTTTTTGAAGAGAAAGTTTAGAAAAAAGCTCAATTCTCTTAGCACTGCTGTTGAAAATTTTCAACTCAGGCACCATATATAGCTGAATTTCAGAAAGTAGCGCAGCCCACCAAATTTCGGCAGAAGTGAATAAATAGGTCAAATAAAAGTAATACCTGTTCGGCCTGGAACCAGGATCCTTGATATTTGTTGATGATGGCAAAAGGTACATCGAGGTCTTCGAACCAGGCGACAGGAGTTTGGAAGTCACGAGCATTCGCTAGACCGTTGGCTCCTGGAAAAATTGCGATTTTGAGGGGTTTTCTAGAGATCAACGACGGCCGTAAGAGACGTAAGAGAATGGGTTTCTCTGATTTCTCTGCTGTCTATAAGAGTCTCAGATAACTGACTCTTCCATTTGGATAAGTGAGAAGAAGCAAGAGATCTACATCAGCGTGAAGAGACGCCAGAAAAAGAAATTTTCAACTTCTCTGACGTCTCTACAGGCCTCTGGAGATCTCTCCCGCTCTTTCTCTTCTCAACACTCTCTCTAGTAGGAAAAAAGTTTTCGCATTTCACAAAGTACAGAACCTTTTTCCAAATTTGATTGTAAAAACAAGAAAATAAGCTACTTCAGACAATTCTCTTTCAATTTTTAACTTCTTTAGAAAGCATTTGAAGTAATTTCAATCGTTTTTCTTTCTTTCTCGAATAAATTTGAGTTTTAATCGTGCCAGAGTTGTATTGAACACTCTTAGAAACCAACCAATCGGTCCCAAATCGGGCAAAACGAAATGGGTTCCGAAAACTTCCAGAACGTAGCCACGAGAGACGCCCCGAACACCGACCGAGAAACGGACTCCTTCAATTTCATGAATACTCTCATATTAATTAAAAAGTAATGTCTTTGGTCGCACGGGGTATGACTATTGCTCCAGATCATCAAAAAAGTTGAAACTTTCCTTTATTTTAGGAAAAAACTTCACATGACCCGATTAATTTTTTTCTAATAACTTGAAAAAACATTGAAATTCTGAAACAGCAACGCGTCGAGTCATTGCAAATGCGGCCCTCATTTTTAAAAATGGTTCATTTTCCAAATTATCTAGCATTTGATCCAGTAGCTTCCACTTTGAAGGGATTTTTCATCAGAACTACAAAATGAAATAATAAAAACCTTGGGGAATGACGACGATTTCCTGGATTCCAACGAGGATCCTTCCAAACTCCGTCGTGATTTCCAACTCACCTTGTTGGGGTACTGCAAAAGGAATATTTAGAAATAAAATTATCAAAAAAATGATCAAGGGGAAGTTTGAAGGATTATGGACAAAATAATTGATAAATAATTCAAAGGAGCATGAATAAACTCGACAAACTTGTCGAAGCGAAAAGTCGTTCTTCGCGTTATTTCATGCTTCCTCGGAATTCTCAGATTCTTCAAAAAATTCACCGATCAAAAAATCGCCGTCCCCGTTGTACATCGCCTTGTTCTGCATGCTTTCGTTGCACGAATAAACGTGGATCGAAATTCCGTTCCGGGAGATGACGTCACCGCCGCCACAGACAGTATAAAGGCCCTTAAGTGATTGGATTTTCGTTGAAAAACTGTTTTTTAATCATCTGGACCTCGCTAACGCAGACCGGGCGTTTTGATAATTTCTAGTGATCACTTGATTCATTCGCCTTACCGAGATCAATGAAAAGATAAATTTTCGATAATTAGCCGTGGAGCAAAGTTGGCTCAAAAGAAAAAGTTTTAACATTTTTTGAACGATTTTGACTATGCAGATGTGAATGTAAGCTTTAAAAACCGTCCTAGAATTAAAAAAAACCTCAACAAAGTCGACGCCGCCAGTTTCTGGCAGTGGGAACGGATTCCAACGGTATTGATTGGGATTTGGCTCGATTCCAGCGAAATCATTGGTCCAACTGAAAGAAAAAATAATAAAATAAATCAATTTTCCATGACATAGAGAAATTTTTCCTACTTTTTTAGAGCCCGAAACTGCTTGGAGAAGAGTTTTGAAAAACTAAAAATGAACCAGAAAAACTCACTTTTTCTTCTCAAACTTCTTAAAAGGACGATGAACAACGGACGGGCGGATTCGGTAGAACCAGCTATAAATCAAGAATAAAAAAATATGTAAAAAAATAGAAAAATTCATTTCGAACATCGATCCCATGAGCGAATTACTAACTAGGGAACTTATTTCCAGCCCCGGATGATCTTTTTGATGAAACTTGGCTGAAGTGTACTTTAGGACCTTCTGTATGCAGAACAAAAAAGTTATGTTCTCGCAATATATCTTGATTCCGAGTTGAGAAGCTTCAAAAGCTTGAAACAGCTTTTTTCTCATAATTTGCGTATTTCCTAAACTTTGAAGTTTCATAATTCGGAAACAAGGTCTATTGCGAGAATTTTTTCGTTGTTTTGGTATAAGGAGATTCCATAGAGCATATCAGCCGAGTTTCATCAAAATTCCAGTCGGCGGCTAAAAAACATTCCCTAGTAAGAATTTGGAAGAAAAATGTAAAAATAAAACACAGAACGAGATAGTGAGGCTTCGATTCACTATATAAAACTTTTTTAACTTCAAAAATTAGCGAAATTAGATTATTATTCTCTTGTTTTCTCGAATTTCTGCACTCTTTCGACTGAATTGGGTCCAATTTTCGGTTTTAGTCGGTCTAATGGGCAAATATATAAGAGACCTCTCAAGAAATGCATATTTCTCGCTTTGGCCAGGTGCTTTTTTGAGTTGAAATTCGATAATAAAGAGAAAAAAAAAATGTAGTTTTGAGCTTTCTACGAGCAAAAAACTAGGAAGAATCGCTCAATTTTTGGAAAAAATTGTTCGAATTAGGTTTTGGAACTGAGTTTCTGTGACTTTTGCTTGGTCGCACTTGGAATGGACGTCGCGCATAATGCTCTTACTAGGCTAGACACGCTCGAAAATTCATTTTCTGGAGCTTTTCAAAACTGCAAACCATTCCAAATGCAACCACAGATTTTCAAATTCATCAAATAAAAACACCTAAAATTCAAATCTCTCTGAAAAACTCGGAAAATAAATCGAAAAGAGGCGATTTTTCCGTTTCTTGAGCGTATAGTGTTCTTACAATCAGAAGTAATTCAAAGAAAGCTTCCAAAAAAATAGAAGAAAACCTGCGTTTGTTGGTGAGTCGCGGCGCGGTGAAGGCGGTGCCACTTAGCTGCTCGGCGTAGAGTCCGTTAGGGCACACCTGTCAACATTCCTTATTTATTCCCTCCAATTCTCTCTTGAGAATAGACCGGACAAAATCTTCTTTCTCTTCTTCGAAATAAATTGAACCAGAAAAATGGATTTATGTTTAATTTCAGGTAGTCTTTGATCGTCTGAAAACTAAGGCCATTTCAAAAAAAAAAAATTCGTTCAAAACAATTATGCGAAATAGGCAAAATTGAAATACCGTCAAGAGCCGTCAAGAATGAATGGGTCCTACAACGATACATCGCAATATGTGTACTTTTACGGTAATCTCTCCGCGTGAATTTGAAATTTCAACTGAAAATGTTCGAATCATTTGAGAATTTGATTTTTTTTTTTCGAAACAGACCGACAAAATAAACTTTTTTTTCTTTTTCAACATAGATGGAACAACAAAACAGATAATTAGGCAAACATCTTGTGTCGAAGAAACATTTTCTAACCAGCTAAACTGAAAAGATGGAACTTTCAACCTTGGAATCTATTTCCCGTTTGATAAGACTAAAAAAGGGTACTACAGTTCATGTCAACTATTCTTTATTTACTCCCTCGAACTCTCTCTTGAGAAAAGAACGCAAAAATCAATTTTTTATTTTTTAGGTGAACTGACGCAAAAAAAAGGCAGTAATTTTACCCCTCTAGTAGTAAAAATAAACGACGACAAAAAAGTTCGAATACTTTTCTGTAGAGCGTTTTTAAATGGAAAAAGTACTGATTGTTCAAATTTTTTTACATCTTTACTTTGATAATATTTTTCGTCCAACAGTTGCAATTTATTCACAAATCTGCTCATCAAAAAAAACTTTGCGTTTATAGTACAAATCCCAAAATCAAAGGCCATTTTTTTGACTTCTCAGTCCTTTTTGGTTGCGTTACAAAAGCGGCACTTCAAAAAATAATTTTCCCAGAAGATCTCAAATATTCCTCAAAATAGTATAAAATCGAAAAAAAAAACCTGAGGCGAGTTCTGACCAACGGGAAGCGCGTCAGGAACTCGTTTGTCCGCCGTCGCAAACTCATTTCCGAAGCCGCTCAGGTACTCGAGCTGCAATATTGGGCCTTTTCTGGGGTTCGAGTAGAATATTCAGATGAAAATATGTGAGTTTGATAAGAATATTCAAATAAAAATAGATGAGTATAAATCCAGGGAAAAAGATTTAATAAAAATAAAATTTAAAGAGGATGAAGATTAAAGCGAAAATTGAAGAATAACCTTGCGGTTAATGGTTTTCTTGAAAGTCCGTACTTAAAAGCTCTGAAATAATTATTGATTTTTTTCCTTTCCTCTGATCTTACAAGCCTCTGGTCGCGGTTGAAATGGCTCAAAGATTTTTCCGAAGGTTTTAAAATCTTAATCTAGTGCTCTCAAATTTAAAAGTTTTCAAACTCAAAACCCAGTCAGAAGTTTAGGCGAAAAAAACTCCAATTTCTCCAAGAAATAAAGGAAAAAAGAAACAAGGATAGGAAAACTACAAATATGAGAGAAAACGAGTCGAAATTTGAGAAAATCCGCCCCCTCTTTTGCTCTCGAATTTCCTGACAGCATCGCGTTGCCCTCATCTCTCGGCGAATCTCGTTATTTCCATGAGAATGTCCAAATTTAGTTATAAGATGGTAATTTATGAATCAGAATAATGAGTAACGAGAAGGAATAAAAAGCGGTGGTTGAGCTCAAAGAGGAGTTGAGTGGGGAACGGCAAAAAAAATGATAATACAAGGCGTCGGAAATCGAAATTTTGCTCTTTTGGATTTGAAGAAGGAAACTCCAATAGCGCCATTATTTTAATGAAAATGAATATTATGGATTTCTCGTCAATTTTTCAGAGAAAAAACTTAAATTTAGGTTATTCTAGTTGAAATTGCTTCAGAAGCATTGGGAAATATGAAATCTCAAGTATTCAAGTCAAATTCTTCTGAAACGTCACCTATAAGTAAAAGTCAGAAAAACAAGTCTAAATCTACTAAAGTTCTTCGAAACTGCAGAAATCATGCTAAAAATCGAGGAAGCTCAGGTTTCTGGAAAAGGTAGAAAAAAAAAATCTAAAAACCACGAAAAATATCGATGAAATCTGCTTAAAGCATGAATTTACAAAAATTTCGAGCTAGAAGCTTCCAAAACGTGGAAAACACTCGAAAAACTATGAGAGGTCGAAAGACAAAGTTAGTAGCTTCAAAACCTAACAAAATCTTGATAAAAACTCCAAGAAGTCAGGATCCACCCATAAATATGGGTATGGAAAACGGAAAGGAGGGAAGAAAGCAGGAAACGGGACGAAGGAACAGGGCCGAAAATCCCCCAAGGAGTTTCTCATCGCCTTCTCCATTCTATTCATCCGTTTGCTCGAACGCGTCTTCGCCTTTTTAGACGAAGGCCGGTCAGAACCCGGCCCCTAATTGCACGCCATCTTTCTTCTTTTTCTAAGATACTTTGCCGAAATTCATAGGCTTTCAATGGATTTTTTGGGAGAAAAAGCCTTGATTTGCATTCCGGATGGTTCACATTGCTTTGGAGAGCTTCAAAGACGTTCATAATGTGCTTTTAAAAATTTTAAGGTGCGTTTGGTATGGCTCCTAGCATGAACTGTCTGGTTGGTAGTATTTTAGTGAACAAGCTCAAAAAAAAAAAATGTAAAAAAGGCTATGTAATATGATTAAGACCATGGAACTTTACTCAAAGCCGTTTCCACAGATCAGCTGTTAGATTTATTTGATTGTTTTGATGTATTATTTTTTGTATTTGTCGTGCAGATTGCGGAATGGAGAATAAAAACTTGAAATGAATGAAATTGACTTATAGGAATTGAGTTGGTTTTGTATCATGATTATAGTCTTAAACTAGTTTAAACAAAGTTTAAACTTTTAAAGATTCTTCTGTTTCTTTTTTCCAAACTTTTTTTTTTCAAGCTTGATGAGTACATTTGAAAATTGTACAGCTTATTTCATAGAATTGTTTTATTTTCGAAAAATAAATTGTCCAGTGCAATCTATTTTCTTCAAACTGAACCTCCTAATCCATTCCCTTAACAAAACTGAAACTAATCCCCCTAGGCCTGAAAATAAACGCTGCCTTTCTTTCGAAAGGCAACAATTGGTTGGAGTTGAAAGAGAAATATTAAAAGAAATAGGTTTGTTAAAGTTACAAATGCAAAGAAAAATGCTGAAATTACTTGGAAAAAAAGGTGAACATAGAAAAACAGGCAAAATTTAAAAACTTTCGACACTTTGAACTTTTGAAACAACTGGTAAAACAAATTCTTAGGTTAAAATCGAAACAAAAAAGGGAAACTCTACTTTTTTTTTAGAATACAAATACACAATATCCAAAAGAATCTTGATTTCTTCAACATGCGTAACTTCAATTAATTTTTCAACTCGACAAAAAAACAATAAAACGATAGCGCGACGCAAATATGTCAAAAAAATGAATAAAATAATTGGTTTCTGCGCTTTCAAAGCTAGCAAGGGAAAAAAAGATAATATTAAACTCATTCTTTCAAGCTTGGAAGACATATTGAACATGAACGAAATATAATTAAATTGCAATTTCATGTAAAAAGAAAAAGAATGAAAAAAAGCAGGATTTTTGTCACTGGAGCAGAATTTCTTATAGGGCGAATAATAAAAGTTTAAACTTCAATCAAGTTGTTTCAATTCTTATGAAAATTTGTGGATACTTAAGATAAAGAATACAAGTTCAAAAAAATTATTTAATCATCGGAGTATGAAGCTTCAAAACGTTATATTTAAAGTTTAATAATATAATATTTGAAGCTTTATGCCGTGTTCAAAAGTAATTTCCGCGAAATTCAAAATAGCTGTCAAAAGAAAGGAAAAAGATCACTAAATTTTTGGAGAGTCAGAGATCATTTTGCATTTCGCGGAAATTACTTTGAACACGGCATTAAAGAAATTTAATTTTCGACTGATATTCGCTTTGTTCTCAATTTTTTTCAAGAAACATTTAATATATATATTTTTCCAATTGTCGAACAAATAAATAAAAAAACTTGGTACCGATGCGAATTAATTATTTTGTGAACGTAATTTTCCATTTCAAACAAAAACCTTGGTGAAACTTCCAAAAGATGAAAAATCAAAAAAATTGAAAAGAATTAAAAATAAACCGCCATGAAGAAACGCTGAAAGTTGCTATATTTTTGACCCCCTGGAGCGTAGATTTGGCCTCGGAGCACACAAAAAGAAGTGGGCGGAGCCAGCTGGGGGGACACTTGCTCGAGCGTGTGAATGGGCATAATAAACGATTGGATGAATGTATGGACGTGTGTGAGTGTGTCCCTTGGGCCACCCCGAAAGTTCAGCTTCTGCCTCGTTTCTTATGCACGAAACTGACATTTTGGCGCGCTTTTTGGCATTTGAAAATTCCTTCAGTGACGTCAGCGGCTTTATATAAATGTGGGAAGGTCGAGAAGCCTACCAGAAATATAGCACGTCAAGAAACAGAAAGCAAATATTAAAACTTCCTAAGATTTTTGATCCATTCTTCTTTTTTCGTTCTGAAATTAATAAATGTTTCCGGGATTTCACAGATTTTGTAGAACTTCAGGTAAGTTTCAGCCTATAGTTCCAGACACTTCGATAAGAAAAAAAAAAAATTGAAATTGAAAAAAGGGCCTGGCATTTTCTTCACTATCTGCAACTTTTTGGTCTTCAAGATTTTTTCAAACATTTTTTTGAATTCGACTTATCAAAACTCTTCAAAAACTTCTCCATTTTGATCGTTGAAAATCAGTAATCCTGACGAAGATCATAAATTGCAGATAGAAAAAAAGTCGAAAACTAATAGGTTCTGCTTCGCAGGAAGAACACAAGGAAGAAAAAAAAGGTGATGGAAGCTCGACTGGGAAAGACTCAGCTTTTGGAAATAATCCTTTTACAGATCTCAGAAAAAAGTTTCAAAAACCACTTCTTATTGAAAATCATTAAATCTGATGGTTCGGAAGTTTGCGAAAAGAAAGGAAAAATCGGAAATAAATCGGTCTTCCTCTGGCGGAAGGAGACAAAGGAGGTCGAAGCCTGGCCGGGAGAGAAGAAGTGCGGCGGTCCAGCCAGCCGGCTGGCGTCCTCCTCCTCCTTGCCGGCCCTGATTCAATCATGCGTGTTCTCGGCCGTCCGTCCGTCGAGACCAATTGGCAAACCTGCCAAATCGACGGCCGGCCCCAGGAATTGCCGCCAAATGAATGGATGTTCAAGCCTTGGACGTTCTTATTTCGAAGAGTTAGGAAAAGTTACTGAAACTTTCAAGCTTTTCTCTTCAGAAAGTTTTTTTTCGAAAAAAAAACTGAAAACTGCAAGTAGCCCCTCCAGTGGTCATTGAAAAGCTGCAGAATCTTCGAAAACTCGATAACTCAAAAATAATGTGTATCAAATCTTGATACAGAATATGGAAAGCGAAATCTCTACAAAGTTGAAAAAAAATTAGCCTAGAAAGTCACTTTAGAGTTCTTAAAGTATAATTTGAAAAGGCCTTTTTGACTTTCAAAATATTATAGTCAGGATTCAAATTGTTGTTGACCGATGATTATTCTTGAGAGATCTTTTCAACCGAAACAAATACAGACTAAATATCCGAAGTAGCCGCTCTAGGGCTCTTAGAGGAGCTCTTAAAAAGCCACTTTTGAACTGCAAAGTATTATAGCCAGCCTTCAAGTTTTCGAATGTTGACCGGTGAGGACACACTTTACTTGAGAAACCTTCTCAACTTTAAAACAGAAAGAAAAATTTGAACATTAGAAGTAGCCACTCTAGAGACCTCAGAAAATAAATCCAAGTATCAATTTCAGAGCCCGCATTTTCCTTCAAAGTTCGCTTTGAAAATAAAAAGTCGACCAACCTCATCAAATTCGGAAGACATTTTTCTCGGCCTGCAGGAAAACAGCAACACACGAAAAAGACGGCAAAACGTGATAAAAACCGCCTTCCAAATAAGGTAGTCTCTGGCGTACTCCTCACTTTGCCTGGTCTCTCCGACTTATCTTATCATTTTGGTGGAATGGACACCCTTCTTTGAGGTCGTCAATGACATAATTGGATGGACAAACAACTGTTTTTAGTGATCCCTTGAGTGATGAGAGAGAAAGAGGGGCACCGAAGTGAAGTCAGATAGTAATTTGTTGAGAATTTCGAAGCAAAATTTCCTTCAATTTTTGGTGATATTCATGTAAAATTTTGAAGAAAAAAGAGGAGCAGCAACGCGACCGCGACGCATCAAGCTATTCCCAATGCGGTCTTCAAAATTGTCTTTTTGTTCATATTTTTGCAAAAATCCTTGCCGAGTGCCGAACTAACATTCTATGCTCGGTTCTCTTTTAAATGAACTAAACAAAAAAAAATTATTTTGTGAGAAAGAAATATACATAGGAAAACGTGTTGATTTCACGTGTCTAACCATTCTTTTCAAACTTCTTCACATCGACCTTGCGGTTCGCTTTTTTACCGTTCAATTCAAAAGATGATTGTTCCAAGAGTTTTCCAGTTTTTGAAAAGAAAAACGAAAAAATGTCGGAGGTGGCCGACCGTTACTTGGAGCAGTTGTACACGACGGTGGAAACGTTGCGTCGCCGGGCAATCGCCTATTACGACGGCGTTTTTCATATCGGTAATTGAGAGAAATGCGTTTATTTTGGTACAGTTTTATAGAAAAAATACAAGGATTTTTTCAAAATTTTTGAAGGATCAGAATGATATATGTTATTTTTTGTGTAATTGACCCGTTCTTGAGAATTTTGAGCCAGAAGTTGGTTCAGTTCTTGGTTTTTGACGTTTTTTTTGATAACTTATCACCGGATTTTTTTTCTTTTGAGTGGTATTACTAGATAGAGCTCGGAAAGCTGGTCGAAATATATTTTCATACATTTTCCCCACATCAATTTAGCAGATTTTAGTACTTGTGTATGAGAAATAAAACATTTTGATTGATTAAAGTTTTTCCATTTTAAGGAGTGGAGTAGTTCTTGAGACCTCTTACCCAAAGAATGACTCATTTAACCTTTTTCCAGTAGAGAATGAAAAATGACGACATTAGAATTCAAATAAAATCAAAGTCCGAAATTTCAAGGCGCCAGGATCAGCAAAGCCTTCGAAAGAGCTAAAGAAATCGCCGAGCCTGTCTCCTACGACGTTCGCGATTATGTGAGTATTTTTCGAATCAAATGGCAAAACTTCGACCGGCATCAAGCTTTTTTTTCCCTTTTTCCATCTTTTCGTGATCAAACTACAGCTTTTTTTCTCAGTTGGTCGTCGCTTTGGCCGAATCCGAACCGGTGGAAAAACTCGAATCGGATGTAAAGAATGGCCTTGTGGAGATGTACCTCGGAGTTGCGGTAGTAGTCACTTAAGGGATTATTTTGACCCTTTCGCCTACAGGTGGTCCTCGTTGGATTGTCAGGGGGCGAACTGTCGGGAATCTACGCGCTTCCCTGGCTTCTTGAAGCGATTTTCGATTTTTACGTCGAACTTATTGCATTGGTCGTTGTTCCGACGTATATCTACCTGAATTTCAAAAAGAATTCGGGTTGGTAAATTACAGAAAAGACACGTTCAAAGATTTCTCTGTACCTGAACCTTTGAAGAGAAAAAAAAATGAGGAATTTTAGAAATAAAAATTTTATAATGAGAAAAAAAGGCGCAAAAAAAGTCTAATGCAGCACAAATGGGTTTTCACTTTAAAAATTTGTTCAATCCGTTTTTTCTTCGAACACGAAAAAAAAAACTCAAACTTAACTTCAAGAGATGGATTGATTCAGACACTATATTTAGGGACCGCAGACGAATTTTTCAAAAAAAATTTTTTTCGAACTTCAATATTACGTTGGTTGGATAGTTGCTCTAATTTTACTATTCAAAACAGTTTAGTTTTTTTCAAAAAAAGGTTGAGAAAAAGTTATGGTCAAAACAGTAGTGAGAAAAAGTCGCGAAATTTAGTACTGAAAGTTTAGATTTTTACACTTTTGGTCGTTCATTTTGTTTTTCATATCGGATTTAAATTTTTTTAGTAGTTTAGTTTGGTTTTCAAAGTCGTAATAAGTCATTAAAACAGTATAAAACCACAAATTTGAAAAGAAAAGCTATTTTTTCTTGAAAAATAAAAAAAAATTGCCGCTGCGAGGATTGAACTCGCGATATCAAAACTGTATGCAAGCGCACTTGCGCTGCTCCACGTACATCTCTCGGAGATGAGAGGCGTTCGCGCTATACACCACTTCACTTCAAAGTACAGCAATCTTGTTTAAAAAAAAGTTATGGTAGTTGAACAATTATTAGTCACGTGTGTTCGGACCACCTGAAAATAATTTATTCATAGAGATTCAGTTCAAAATGCTTCCGTTTTCGGTGTTTTTTCTTATTTTAACGTTGGCTTCAAACTAACACTGATTAAACTTTTTAGGCACCGCTAAAAAAATTTTTATTTTTATTTTTTTAATTGATTGAAAATTGAGATACGCTAATATTTAAGAAATGAAAAAAAGGCGCCAACGACATCTGACCATGTTAAAATGAATTTCGAAATTTTGACTGTCTATTTTTTTCTCAGAAAACAAAGTTTTTCGGAATAAGTTTTATATTAATAAAACTTTAGTTACAATTTAATCCACAAGTTAAAATAAAAATTTTTTTACTTACACGCTCTCGAAACCGAGTACAACATTTTTCAACTTTGCGCGGCCTCACGAAGATTAGGCACCGTAAAAATTTTAATTTTTTTGTTTTAAAATATTTGTTTTTGACTTAAGAATCGAATTCGAAAATAAAAAAAAGCGCCAACGACATGGAACTAGGTTAAAAACCCGAAGAAAAAAAGTAGTTTTGGTTTTTTGTACGACACTCCGCTAAAACGCTTCGAAAATTGGGTGAAAAGTATATCAGATTGAAGAGGAAAGTTTTCTCTATGTTTCCACCAAATTTCTCTGTGTTTGATTCAGTATTGCGCTTTTACGAAAACATCAAACACAAAATCTAAAAAACCAGTGCATTTCACCATCGCAAAAAGGGGCGTGGCTCTGCGGTCTCTAACTATATTTCTAGATATCTCCACTTTTTTCTTACACCCAATGGTTTCTGTAGTAACTCCTTAAATGAGCTCTCTGAATAGTTGCTGAAATTGAGCTCATGCCAAGAACCGCCTCAAAGCTCAGTGCCGCGAAAAGTGAGACTGTTTCAAGTCCTAGAAGTTTGAGTAGACCTGTAATTCTTTGTGAACCGACTTTTTCCTGTTTAGCGCTTGACGACACGGAAAGACGTACGAATCTCTTCTCGGGGGCCATGATGGTTGGGATTTTCCTCGGCCACCTCATCGGCCCAAGGATCGTCTCCATCTCGCCGTCGACGCTCTTCCTTCCACCGCTTCTTTTTGCCTTGATAGTGAGTTTTTCAGCCGCGTCGCTCAGCCGAGTTGCTTCAATGAGAATAAGTATAGGGAACTTTTCCATGTTTAGTCTTTCTGTAACTCAGAATTTGAATTGTCCGTAACGCTCTTTTGTTTAACGCGCTTCTTTCAAGTTCCTATGAACTCGCTGGCAAGGAAGAAGAGAGTGCAGACAGGTGAGACTGTTTCAAGCGATGATGAATGAAGTATAGTAATCAGAGAGCGAGCCACGTACTGATCGTTTTCGAACGACATATTCAAAACCTGATCGGAATCTATTTCATTCATCTCCACTTGAAACAGTCTGACCTGTCTGCGCTCTCCGATTGGTCCATCGCGCCATTAGGGGCGGAGCTTGAGCGACGGCTTGATATTCAAAATCTGAACAGACTATATCTATTTTTCTATTTTTTTTTGCTCAGGTTGATCATGAACTCCTGGTCTCGCCCTTGCCAAGTTATGATCGTCAAGTCTTCTTCTACATGTTTGCCGCTGTCATCTTGCCGATCGGAGCACTTTTGTGTCAGTTTTTTTTAAAACCTCGCTGAAGTCATTCACGTGGGAGTTTATTTTGAAAGTAATTCTAGCCGCTTTTTGGTTTGCATCTGAGAGGAATAAGACTAATTCATCATTCTTCCACTAACTTACCTTGCTTCTATTTCAATGGCGCAAAGATTAAAAAAAAAAACGAAAACGACTCTTTGACTCGAGAACTTCGTGAATTTGTTATGTGGTCCTTTAAAAATCACATAAAGAGGTTTGAACATATCATTAAACGTCGTCGCAAGAAGTGTTTCGTTTTCAATCTTTTTGATTTTCAGCCACAATTTCACTGGGATATTTCTCGTTCGGCGTCATCCTTTTGACCATTTCTCATGTTGCCTTGCTCTACGTCCATTTTCAGGTTTTTCTCGTTCCTTCTTTGTTTTTCTCATGATCAAACGAATTGATATTTCAGGTCGTGATGCAGCACATCAAGGACAAGCAGTACAGCGTCGGAGGTAGTCAAATAGCCTACATTGCCGCTGTTCTCTTTCTTCAGGTTTTTTTTTTGAATTTACAATGCTTTAGTCCCATTTGGATATGATCGAGAAGTCGCGATTGCTTTAAAGTTTGATCTTAACCACTTGAAACAGTCTGGCCTTTTTGTTTCCTCTTCTCCCTCGCTGGCGAGGTCATGTAGAAACATGAAAAAATAACAATACGGCGCAGAAAAATTAGAATGCGATGAGTTGTTCCAAATAAAGTACGGAAGACATAGGAGTGGATGAATTCAGAACGGAAAAAAAAGAAGACATCATTTTTCAGCTCTTTTTCACATTGGTCTTTGGATACAACCTCGAAGCCAAGCCTCGTCTTTGAATCGTCGATTCGGCAAAAAACCGAGATTTCCCCAATTTTCCCGCCGTTTCATTCATTGATTGAACGTTTTTCGTGCTCTATTGATAAACGCTTCGTTCTGAAAGTCGGTCCTCTTTCTTTCGAATGTTTTCAAAGCTAATTATTAATCAATCAATCAAATCAAATCATTTATTTTATTGTTTTAGTCAGATGTAATCGTTTAGGCGATGAAAAAGAAGTTTTGAAGCTATAACGAACAACGAACAAAAGTCCAAACGTGTAGTTGGTCAAGTTGAAAGCATGGTCTTATGGTCCTTCGCCTGGATCTTCTGCGCGAAGTTCATCCAGTTGTGCCTCGACGAGATCAGGATGTAGCAGATCTTGTGCTGGAGCCCGGATACCGTGCTCCAGGTGGAAGCCCCGAAAAGAGCAGTTTTCTTTGTTGTTTTGGGCCATCCGCTTACAGCAAGAACTTTCAGACAAAGTACAAACTTTTCTTGAGAGGAGGATCTCAAAAAAATTCAAAAATTCTGGTTACAGCCTGTAACCAGAATTTTTGTAACTTACAGGGAAAAAAATTGACGGAAATTGACCGGTTAGGAGAAGGTCAATATTTTGGTCGAATCGGTGGAAACAGGTTTTCTTTGATTGATACGGTAGGTGAAGGCTTTAGGAAGGCCTCAAGCCTCTCGGCCATTTTCTAAGCCCAAAAGGAGCATTTTTTTTCTAGTCGAATATCAAGTTTTTTTTTTATAAAAAGCTATGATTTTAAAAGTAAAAAGAATTTTTTGATGAAAATGTTTTTAATAAAATTAAAAATTGTTGTCCGAGCCCGGGCCGCCCGGCCTGACGCACAAGCCTGCTGAAAACTAAAAAAGGAGTCTACAGATCGAATTTTGGTACATGTGCGCTCCAACGGGAATGGAACAGCTTCTGGTGTGGATTTACCTCGGACATTGTTAACGCGAAACTGACGTGCTGCGGACGTTTCTGGGCACTTCTAGGGATCACATAAGAGTCTGACGCTACTAAACTGGTCACTAGAAATTCTCTGACACGTCCGATACGCGTCCGTTTCGCGTTACCGATACCCGAGTACGTTTTTTTGTTCATTAATTCATCAAAGTCATTGAATTGATCATCCATTACAATCGCAGCTTGGATAAAAAGTTTTTCACAGATTTCTCTGAGCTGATTTTGTAGCGAAAGTTAAAATCGTTTTTTTAAAAAATTTTGAATTTTTTCGAAAAGTGCCGTCTTTGGAAAAAAAATCCTATCGTCAATCTAGGAATGATAGTTCAATGGAGAAATCTGTGACCGATCAAGCCGGGATCAAATTTCATCAGCCCTGTGGCCATTTCTCATTCATTTTCTCATTTTCCTTTCTTTTTACACTTTCAAGGATCATTTATGTATTTTTTTCTCTTTTTTTAATTTTTTTTTTCTTTATCCGTCATATTTTAATTACTAAAGTATGTAATGAGACTATTGAACCTTTAGTTCCTATTTCAACTTAGCGACATAGTTTCTTGTTTTAATGAACATGAAATATGATTTCAAAAAAGTTTTCATTATTTGTATTTCATACTCTCTTTTCAGCTTCGGAAAGTTTCAATCAAATGATAAAATAAGTGAACTATGTCGTCATTTCCTGTAAAAACTATTATTAAACTATAATAAATTCCACCACTTTTAAATAGATGTCTTCATTTTTGAATTTTCCTTATATTCGCTTAATGGATAGGTCTATTAACAACTTAATAATGAAAAAGAAGCTTCAGGGAGGGAAAAGAAATTCGTTTAATGAAAAATTTCAATTTTCGGGTAATGGTAAGATAAGATGATGCTTTGCAGTCATTGAGCTCTTCTACAGAGAAATTTGAATAGTTTTCAGTTTTTTTATTTTTATGTTATAACCAAAAAGTTATGAGTCCCCAATCGGGTTACTGTAACTCTGGCCATGACGTGAATTTTGAGCGATTTCTTTGACAAAATCTTGTTTTTCCGTCATCCAACTGCTATTATCTAAATAAAATGCAAAATTGATTTTTGATTTCGTACCTGTTTTAGTTACAAAAAAAACGTGAGATTTTTTTGATGTTCAGTTTCGTTGGATTCACTTACAAGTAAGAATAGCTGCCGAGATAAACGCGAGTTCGTCAATGTACCGCCAGCGTCTCATGTTTATCTCGCGAATTATTCTTAGTTAGGGTTATTTGAATAAGATGATCAAAATGAATATTCGGCTTACTACATTTTTGCCTTTTAAGACCTAAACATGTTTCTTAGCTTTCAGTTGGACTCAGTTTAGCCTTGAAAGTAATTATCTATTTCTACAATTCTGAATTCCTGTTGGTTAACTGTCGAATTTTATTGCTGATATCCTTAGCTTTCAAAAACCATTTCTCAACCGTGAATCTAACTTTCTGAAGAACTATTTTATAAATGAAACTGTTTTGAGATTGTCATGTTTACCGAATCTGTTTTTTTAGCTTTGTTAATTCAGTTCTCGATCAAATTCTCTCTGGATTTAAAGATTTTTGAGCTTTGTAAATCAGTAACTTCAAAACCTAGTATAACCTTCTTTAAAATCTGTATCGATTTCATTGAACTTTGAAAAGATTTTTATCGAGCATGTAGCCTACACATTCGGCGCGCCACCTACAGTACCCACTGACGTCGTCGGTCGAGCGTCTCAGACGACCGCCCACCTCACACGACTCCTTATAAGTTAGAGCCTCTGGCCGGTCTCAAACCAACTTCTCTTGCTACCTTTCCAACCTTCTCTTCCTTCTCAAGAACCTCAACATGTCCAACTACAAAATTCTGGCGATTCTGGCGATTGTCCTTGTGACGCTGGTGTCCGTCGAGGCGCAGCTCTTCGGGGGCTGGAGCCAGCCTTCGTGGGGCTACTCGGCGAGCGGCGTCGGCGTCGACTCCAACGGCAACACCTTCGAAGGCACTCCTCAGAACGGCATCTACCTGTTCTGCAACGGCCACGGATGTCCCGGACGTGGTCGCAAGTAAAGCTCTGGTCCTCGAATCTTTCCATTATGGGTACCTTGATTAAGAATATCGTTTTGTATTTTTTTTTACCATCCATCAAATAAAATTCATTCACTTTCATCTTGGTCTGGGATTGGATTGCATTGAAATGCTCATAGTCGTGACAAATAGGTAGCCTGACTATCCAAGAACAATTTTTGAATTCCTAAAAGCTAGAATCATATTCAGAATCAATATTTTCTCAATAATAGTTCCATTTCATGATAATTATCTCTAGATTATTCAAAGTTGTTTAATGTTTTGACTATCGTCAAACGTTCTGAAAACCTAATTTCGAATCAATTTTCTTATGAAGCCCCCGCCTCCCACGCCTTTCAAGTCGGGAAAGATTGACTATATCACGAAATGTACTCCAATAAGGCTCGTGCCGGATCCGTGGCTGTTTTTCTTCGTTTTTTGTCTCGTTTTCTTGAAATTTCAGTGAAAATCATGGTAAGATCTATTGTCTCATATCATGAAAAACAAAACAGGTTCCATTGAAAATGTTTACCGAACTTCACAACTATCAATTTTTTTTCTTTCAAAGCTTGGTTGTTGATCATGAAGGTCAAGAAGGCGACTTCTATCACATGCGCACCAAATGTCTTCCTCCAATGTCATTAATCGAAGAGTTCTTTTTCTCTTCTCGCAATCAGAGAGTTTCGGACCATTTTTAAGAATATAGACTAGTTTTTTTAGAACTCAAAAGAATATTGAAATGAATTCGAAGCTTGATCGGAACTCAAAGTTTTTGAAAGAAAGAGATCGATTCCAATAACATTTTTCAAAAGTTGATTTTTCACTAGCTAACGAATGGTTTCCATTTTTTAAGTTCAGAAAATGCAATTTTTACGCTGAATCCGAAGCTGGGCTTACAATCTACCAAGGAGATTTGGGGAAAAAGTGTGGACTACTCAAAAGTGAAAAAATTGATGGTGAAGAACCCTTTTTTTTACTTTAGGTAAAACTTTCTTTTGAGCTTCTCACAATTTAACTGACCAAGAGAGTCTCAAAAAAATGTTTGTTTGAGTTTTTAAATGAACCTAATTTCTTTCAACCATCATTTTTTTCGGTTATTATTATTGATAACTCCGATTAGGTTTCTAACGGCAGCAATTTGATCGATGGAGAAAAGAAGAACCGAAACTGGAATCGAAAAGGAGAGGAGTTCTTTGATTGATTGCGAGATGCCTTCTGTTTGACTTGTTCTGAACTTTCTGAATCATTTTGATGATTTCGAAAATTTTTTTTCACGGTAAAGTCGATTCAAAATGAGGTTCCGAGGTTTCTCAAGACGGAGAGTTTCCGACCAAACCGGGAATTTAAAAAAAAATAGAGCTTGGAATAATTTTGCTTCAAATATTGATCTTCCAATTATATGTTTTATTGAAGGGCAAAACGTTTAGAATTCCTCTTGATAACGGTTATACTATATACTAGGCACGAATCTGAACATTTCGATGCAATATAAGACCAGGAATAGTTTAAATAAAATTTATTCAAGAAATATACAAAGGATTAAAAGGAGATATTCTAAACCATGGTACCCATAATGGCAAGATTCGAGGACCAGAGCTTTACTTGCGACCACGTCCGGGACATCCGTGGCCGTTGCAGAACAGGTAGATGCCGTTGTCAGGTGTGCCCTGGAAGGTGTTTCCGAAGGAGTCGACGCCGACGCCGCTCGCCGAGTAGCCCCACGAAGGCTGGCTCCAGCCACCGAAGAGCTGCGCCTCGACGGACACCAGCGTCACAAGGACAATCGCAATAATCGCCAGGATCTTGTAGTTGGACATTTTGTTGAGAATAGAAAAAGTGGAGGAAGGTGAGAAGTTGGTTCGGGTTCGACCAGATGTTCTATCTTATAAGGAGTCGTCTGAGATGGGCGGTCGTCTCCGACGCTCGACCGAAGACGTCATCCAGCTACTGTAGATGGCGTGCCGAGTGTCTAGGCTACAGAAATGACTCTTTCCAGGTACAACGGGTTCAATCCAGCCTTTTTAGGAAAAACTTCATGACTTTCGAAGTGACTTCTCGGAAAAAATTGAAAAATTATTCGAATCAGATATTCCGCTTTTTCAGGGTTCGAACGTATGAATCTTGCTTTTTGGAAGTTTTTGGAAGTTTTCGAAGTTGAGTTGAAAATTCTTCAAATTTGGTAGCTATCTAAAGCTGAACTTAGGGTTTCATATATTTACAAATAGAGAACATAAGAAGTCTGAAATATGTAGCTTGATTAAATTACCATTTCGGCCCTTCCCTATTGTAAATGTTTTGATTTTGATCTTATTGTATAAATTATACAACTGTATAATTAAACCAGTGATCATTAAATATATCTTCATTTCGAAATTCAATTGCTCATAAAAAAATTAATTAATGTTAAAAAAAGAGTTCAATTTATGGGATGCAATAAGAACAATCAGTACAATCGATATGAAATTTGGCACAGATCCAAAAATTTACCAGAAAAAAACAAATGACACAGAGCGATATTTAGTAGTAGATGGGGAGCCGCAATCAGAATGGTTTTCCTTTCGAAAAATGTAAGTTAGAAGGATTTAACACACGTTCTCCGAGAAAATCGATGAACTGAGAAATCTCTTGGTACAAGAATTTCAAGTTGGTTCCTCAGAGCTCGTTTTGCTATCAGAGATACTACATAACCTTCTTAACACATGACACCCGGTTTCGACAGGCTCCGCCCACTTTCAGGGTTATGGTGGAGAAAATACCGTAAAAAGCTAACTTTTTTCCTGGTCGAGCAAATCGGTTCAAACCAACTGTAACGCAAAAGAGCACGTCATTTTTGAACATTTTTTTCATGTTGAAACCTACTCTGGAAAAAAATTTTTCTTCTTGTGGAAAAATCGCTGAAAGTTGAAAAAAATGACGAATTCCGCAGTTTTTTTGAGCTCTACTAAAATGGGGACCCCCTGATGGCCTTGATTTTTTTATTTTTTCTCAATCGATGTATTGAGGTCTTGTGTGTTCGAAAAAAATATCCCTATATTCAAGTTTTTAAGTGTCGTAGTACATCACCATCTCAAAGAACGCGTCCAACTTGAAATTGGCCAAAACTTCAAAAATCCACAACTTTTTTGAGAGTTTGATTTCAGTTGAGTTTTTGTTCTTGATGTACTACAACTAACTTGTTTTCAACTCAGGACAGTAAAAAGTGGAAAACGAAAACTTGAAAAATTTTAATTTTCAAGTTTTCGATTTTTGGACTTTTTTGTTTTTCCCCCAGCTTTTGCTTTTTTCACCTCTGCTGAGGAGAGGACCCTAGAAGGCCTGGAATTTTATTTGATAAAATGATTAATCAGGTCTTGCTTAGTTCAGAAAAAATATTCTCGTCTTCAAGTTTTGAGTGTTACAGTTGACCACCGAAGCGCTGAAGCTGGCGACCTCAAAATCGAGTAAAAATGAAAAAGTTCATAAACTCAGTTTTTCACTTGAAAGTGAAAGGTATCCTTCCCAAAACTTTCCTTGAGTACATCTCATTGAAAAAATGCATTTTGCCTGTGAAAAAATGACATTTTTTCGTTTTTTCCAAAATTTTCCACTTCAAGGTACATTTTCCGGCCTGAGAAATTTCAGTGTCCGTTTTTCTGAGCGAAACTTTTTTCATGTGTCTTCTGGACCTTGTATATACCTGAAAGTAAAAAAATTGCCTCAAAATTCCTTTGAAACTCGGAGAAAAAAGAAAGAATTCGCTCAGAATCTCGTATTTCTGGACTTTTTCAAGATCTTTTTTGATACTTTCTACTGGCAAAAGGTTTGAAAATTGCTCTCATTGTGTTTACACTGGTTTTGTGGTTATGGAAAAAGTTTTTTTTTTGTTAGTTCTTTATTAATGAGCTCGCAATTGCCAATGGGGTGTAGTTT